CCCCACCCTTCCCTTGGAGCAAAAAAAAAAAAACGCATACTGAATAGTGGAAGCCTTGCGGTATTGAAAATTTGGCACTCCGGTTTGAGCTGTACACTATGGAAAAGCCTTTCGGGTTACTATCGGGAAGCTCTCCCCGTTACCCGTTACCCAGAAACGGTAAAAAAAAAAGCTGTGGTTAAAACTGCAAATCCCCGAAAAGGCCCGGTAAAACAGTAGGTATGGTATAAAGCCCTGGCTTTAGCTAAAAATGTAACAAACGCGTATAAAAGGTACAGAACTTCGAGGAATCCTGATCGACCACTCCGGGTGCATCGTCCACCCTGGGTGCCGCTTACTAAGAATCTCAGGCGTTTTTCCTATTTACGCTAACGTAACGTATATGATTGCCTACGCTAGTATGGTCGTGATTACGTGGCCTAGGGTAGTCTTGAGGCGTCAGTTCGCACGAACCCGCTCTCATCATGATCCTAGGGTGACCTCCCGGGAAGTCCTCGTGTTGCATACCTCTTTTTTTTTTTTGCGTATGACTTATCACCTTCGGAACGCCATAACTTTTAAACCGTGAGGCCAAACTCGACATGTGATACCTTTTCGGAAAGCCCAATGATAGCCCTTCGAGAGGGGCAATGGGGCAATGGGTCCTTGTGCCATTATTTTTTTTGTTCGACACCAAATTTTGACGTTTAGGGGCTTTTACGGGCCATTTTGTCATCCATACCATATTTCGGGACCGAAATCGATTTTTCAGACATTGTTTGCGCATATTTTCCCATGTCTTGAAGCTCCTTAGGACTAGCTGGTGAGGCCCACGTAGCAGGTGGGACCCACGGCGAATGATTCTTAGAGTCCGCAAAAAGGATAAATGCGATTGCATTGCATATACTAACGGATGGGATCATACCAGCACTAATCCACCGGATCCCATCAGAACTCCGCAGCTAAGCGTGCTTGGGCGAGAGTAGTACTAGGATGGGTGACCTCCCGGGAAGTCCTCGTGTTGCATCCCTCTTTTTTTTTTCTTTTTTTTGCGTATGACTTATCACCTTCGGAACGCAATAACTTTTAAACCGTGAGGCCAAACTCGACATGTGATACCTTTTCAGAAAGCCCATAGATAGCCCTTCGAGAGGGGCAATGGGCAATGGGTCTTTGTGCCATTGTTTTTTTTTTCGACACCAAATTTTGACGTTTAGGGGCTTTTCCGGGCCATTTTGTCATCCCTACCATATTTCGGGACCGAAATCGATTTTTCAGACATTGTTTGCGCATATTTTCCATGTCTTGAAGCTCCTTAGGACTAGCTGGTGAGGCCCACGTAGCAGGTGGGACCCACGGCGAATGATTCTTAGAGTCCGCAAAAAGGATAAATGCGATTGCATTGCATATACTAACGGATGCGATCATACCAGCACTAATGCACCGGATCCCATCAGAACTCCGCAGTCAAGTGTGCTTGGGCGAGAGTAGTACTAGGATGGGTGACCTCCCGGGAAGTCCTCGTGTTGCATCCCTCTTTTTTTTTTTTTTTTTTTTGCTTATGACTTATCACCTTCGGAACGCCATAACTTTTAAACCGTGAAGCCAAACTCGACATGTGATACCTTTTCGGAAAGCCCAAAGATAGCCCTTCGAGAGTGGCTATGGGCAATGGGTCTTCGTACCATTGTTTTTTTTTTCGACACAAAATTTTGACGTTTAGGGGCTTTTCCGGGCCATTTTGTCATCCATACCGTATTTCGGGACCGAAATCGATTTTTAAGACATTGTTTGCGCATATTTTCCATGTCTTGAAGCTCCTTAGGACTAGCTGGTGAGGCCCACGTAGCAGGTGGGACCCACGGTGAATGATTCTTAGAGTCCGCAAAACGGATAAATGCGATTGCATTGCATATACTAACGGATGCGATCATACCAGCACTAATGCACCGGATCCCATCAGAACTCCGCAGTTAAGCGTGCTTGGGCGAGAGTAGTACTAGGATGGGTGACCTCCCGGGAAGTCCTCGTGTTGCATCCCTCTTTTTTTTTTTTTTTTTTTTGCGTATGACTTATCACCTTCGGAACGCCATAACTTTTAAACCGTGAGGCCAAACTCGACATGTGATACCTTTTCGGAAAGCCCAAAGATAGCCCTGCGAGAGTGGCTATGGGCAATGGGTCTTTGTACCATTGTTTTTTTTTTCGACACCAAATTTTGACGTTTAGGGGCTTTTCCGGGCCATTTTGTCATCCATACCGTATTTCGGGACCGAAATCGATTTTTAAGACATTGTTTGCGCATATTTTCCATGTCTTGAAGCTCCTTAGGACTAGCTGGTGAGGCCCACGTAGCAGGTGGGACCCACGGCGAATGATTCTTAGAGTCCGCAAAACGGATAAATGCGATTGCATTGCATATACTAACGGATGCGATCATACCAGCACTAATGCACCGGATCCCATCAGAACTCCGCAGCTAAGCGTGCTTGGGCGGGAGTAGTACTAGGATGGGTGACCTCCCGGGAAGTCCTCGTGTTGCATCCCTCTTTTTTTTTTTTTTTTGTGTATGACTTATCACCTTCGGAACGCCATAACTTTTAAACCGTGAGGCCAAACTCGACATGTGATACCTTTTCGGAAAGCCCAATGATAGCCCTTCGAGAGGGGGCAATGGGCAATGGGTCCTTGTGCCATTATTTTTTTGTTCGACACCAAATTTTGACGTTTAGGGGCTTTTACGGGCCATTTTGTCATCCATACCATATTTCGGGACCGAAATCGATTTTTCAGACATTGTTTGCGCATATTTTC